TTTGAATTAAAGCTGAAAGTGCACTTTTCTAAACATCTTTTCATGCATGTAAAGAGCACGCGTTGAGCTCTGTGTGTTTCATTTGCCCTTTTCTGGTGTTGATGTAAAGCCTTTTAAAAAAATACTCCCCATAATCCCATTACTTTACTCTTTTTGCTTTCATCCACCTCCTGTCCTTTTATAAGAACACAGAGATAGACAGAAATTGGCTCTTCTATCAGTCCCACACTAACCGCTCCTGTGTGAGCTATCTACAAAGCTGCTGCAAATGAACATTAGAAAAGCAATCAGATGAAAAGTCATTATTTCAAAACACAGTCTGCTTTTTAAACAGGTATTTTAGTTTTTTCTTTAGTTTCTTTTTTTTAAATTTGAAGTTGGACGTTTGGTGGATTCACGACATTGCTGCAGGGCTTTTAAATCTAAATCTGATAATGCAAGAAAAAACTATTTTTGGATACAGTTGTGCGTTAAGAGTTAATTAAATTGATTTAGCTGCAAAGAAATTCCACATGAAGGCACAAGAACTTTCAAACAATACAAATACTTGACCCAGACAAGACTTTAAATGCTATGTGAGTAATAATTTCCGTTGATGAATTGTGCATTCATTTCATACGTGAGATCAAGCTTCCCGTGATTGTATAAATGTGTGGTGTAATTTCCCAAGCTTGTTTACACCCAGCCTGGTTAGGCATGAATCATGCCCAACCAGGCAAATGTGCTGGTGGTGATAAATCACTGTATGTATACTGAATATGAGCACATGTGTTTCATTCTAATTAACTGGGGTGTGATTTAATCATAGCTGAGCATTTATTTTTTTAAAAGCAAGATGAAAGAGCAGCTCGGCAGCCATAGAGATCGAAAGGAAAAATGACATCCTATACCTTACATTACAGGTGTCAGAGGTTGCAAACTGAACTTTGACCTCAGTGATTGATCTGCTTGTTTCTGTTACTCTATGTTATAGAGCCTGGCTTCAAAATGTAGATGAAAAGAGTCCCTTCATGTGCTGCAACTTGTTTTAGTATCCCACATGATGATATAAGTTTACACAAAATGCACTTTTAGCATTAAATCAGCATTTTGACATCACACTGGTGGAGGTTTACTTTAAACCAGGGGTCTCGAACTCCAGGCCTCGAGGGCCGGTGTCCTGCAGGTTTTAGATGTGTCCTTGATCCAACACAGCTGATTTAAAGGCTAAATTGCCTCCTCAACATGTCTTGAAGTTCTCCAGAGGCCTGCTAATGAACTAATCATTTGAATCAGGTGTGTTGACCCAGGGTGAGATCTAAAATCTGCAGGACACCGGCCCGGCCTGGAGTTCGAGACCCCTGCTTTAAACTAATATATATCCCATTATTATGATGTTAGTGCAACAGTGCTGAAAAAAATACGATATTTTAGCACTGAACATCTCCTTACGAATTTCAGGTGGATATCTTCTGTGTTTCTGAAGTGACAAGGACTCAAAAATACTCAAAAATTCAAAATTTTGACCCATATGTGCTGTAAGTTTTCATGGTTTATTTAAAGATCCCAAAGTTATTTTACATTAATTAAATAAATAGTGAATCAGCTGGTTGTGAGGGGGTCAGGCGGTGGCACTGATTGAGTTTTCAAAAGAGTGACCTAATGGCATTGCCTTTATTTATGATGTAAGGGCAGTTATGCAACATAAGTATTTTACCTGTAACAGATTTATTAGACTACCTGTCATAAAAATAAGAAAACACTATTTTTTATGTCTGTCAAAAAGTTGTTTAAAAGTAATACTATACAGTTATTTATTAGGCGATTTACCTGAAAAAAATGACAATAAAGTTTTGTGTTTGTGACCAAAGGACCCGTCATGTATACAATATTGAAGGGTTGATGACATTTTATTTACCGTGATTTCTCTCTCATCAGTGACCTCCTGATATAGGGAGAGGCTGATTACTAGATCAGCCCCAGCCAGCCTCCCCAGCACTGGCCCCTGAAGCCACTGCACCACCCCTCCTCTGCATCGGAGACCCAGACCACACTCCACGTAACCATGTAAATAAAAACAAATCTATTCAAATTCATGGATTTGTCCACAGTGGCTTTGTTGCTGTGTGTGCACATGGCAGTCTTCTCAGTCCTGCCTCAAATGTGTGGAGGTGGCTGCTTGAGGGAAACTACTGGGGAGTTTACGTGGCAGAATATCTTTGGGGGTCATTGAGCCGGGTCAGTTCAGGGCCACTGTGTTCTTTAAAATCACCATGCATTGGTTGGAAGTCGTGGTTGGCATGCTAATGTGTGAAATGGTCATAAAGTTCAAGGTGAGAAATCAAAGTTTATTGTAACACTCTCTGTTATATGCAAATCACTGCTATTGCTCCTCATATGACATAGAAAGTCTAACATTTGTCATCAGTTAGTGGGTATATTTTTGTGAATTACAGCCAGTTACTGGAGCCATCCCATACACGGGGTACAATAACTCAGTCCTAGATTTGCACTACCTGTGGAAAGTAGGCAAACCTTCAGTATTTATTACTGACTCTCAGCCACAGATCAGGTCGGATTTGGCAGACAATGTCTCTTTTAATCAGCAGATGTGATCAAAACAGCCTCACAGAGCTCACTTGTTTGCTCAGTCGTTCACCTTTCCAAGCTTCTCCTTATTTGTCACATGAATATTTAACCAGTGCTATGAATACTGAATGATGCTCAAAGGCAAGACACCTGTCTCGCATTTTAAGAGTCACAGGGAATCTGAAAATAACTTCATCCGTCTTCTGTCTTGTCTGCATCCCACGCTGTCTTCATGAAATCTCACAGCTGTGACCTTACATTGACAAATTTCGAAGTCTAGACCAAAAGTAGTCCAAACATTTCATCTGACTGCACGATATTCAACAGCAGAGCATAAACATAAACATACAAAGATGATCACACACAAGCCTCAAGGTTCTTCTTTTTATTTTTTGCATTGAATTTCATGCAGAATCCTCCAAACCGGTTAATCCGTTTATTTACATTTGCTACCTTTCCAGTGCATTGGTAATCGTATTATATGCAAGCTCAATTTGCCTTCATGGACAGAGCTAATGAAAAATGAGACCCAAAAGCAGCTGATCAGAGGAACAGGGCATGAAGGAGTGTAGTTGTTAATCTTTTATGGCACACAGAGCCTTGTCTTTGTTGAATTTGTTTTTCTTTATGTTGCTGAACTCCGCACGAGGTGCCCCACACTCAAGTCAGTGAATTGTAGAAATAAAAATGAGGGACAACATAATGATGAACTTTAATAGCTGAAGTTTTATACACAAAAGCAAACTCTGAGGGTCAGTCATATCTATCAAATACTGAAAATCAGTTTGAGGTGCAGGAATCTTTACTTTCATTCATATATGTATATTTTTACTTAAAGAAAAATATCTCTGAGGGCCAAATTGTAGTCATTTTATTAATGCAGCATTTTATTTCATTGATGTTGCAACACATTGTAACAAACACAAAATCAGACACAGTAGCCAATCAGCTGTTTTAATTCGATTAAGAAAATCAAAATCCATAAGACAAACCTCTGCAAAATTCCTGTATTTTTCACGTTTTTGTCATCTTTAATAGGTGTAAATGTTTGTGAAGTGCAGAAATGTACTACTAACCCGGGTATCCAAATTGAGCAACAACATCTTACAAACATAATGAATACATTTCCTACATGAAATGCTAAAAATGAATTTTAAAGCCATTTTCCCACCAGCAATAATTAACTGTTTGTTCTGCTTAGCTCCTAATGCATGGGACCATTACTGTCATCTTTAAGGCAGTGGAAAGATGACGCAGATGTCAAACAACTGAACTCTTCAAGTCTTTACAAATCTTATTGGCATAAATGATTATTTTATGTCAAGAAGTTTATATTGTCAGGATTGTTCAAGATTTGTGAGATTTCAGTGAGTTCTTCCATTGTAAACCACTGGCCCGCCCTTGGTGGAAGATACTCTCTAAATATATGTATAAATATATGTCGCCCACTTATGTAAATCTGATTATTCTTTCTTTGCTTAACTGAATAGCTGAAGCCCCGGGAGGGGAAAAAAGTGTATTGTGTAAGTTTTAAGCTATTTTGTTCTTCTCAGGGCACTGTGACCTGTAACGGCACATAATGAAGGGAAAAACTACAGCCATTTAATGGGATAATACTTTTGTGTGGGGTGCAGAGAGGGAGTGTTTTCAACCCATTGGGTTGTCTGCTACAAACACGCTGTTGCCACAAGAATCGAATGTACTCCCTTGTGATGATATTGCGCACTCATATTAGCTGAAATTTGTCCTGAAATAGACACATTTTTATTTGCTAAACATGATCAGAATTGCTGGTCAAAGAGGAAATGGGTGTAAAATGTGAATATTTAAATATACAAGGAAAGGAGGGCAGATTTTTGTTCTTATTGCAGGCATTAGCATATTTGCATGAAAAACTTGCTTTAAGTGAGTCTTCCTCAGAGTTATATAAAGAAATAAGTGACTTAACCGCCTAAGACCTGAACTCTTCCACGGCATGCATTTTTAATTTCTCTTTGATATTTGGGCATATTGGGGCCCGATGAATGTAAAAAAAAGAATTACCAGATTTTTTTTTTTTATACATTATTTATGTTCTTAAGAAAAATAAGAGCCACATATGAGGATATTAGTTTAAAATTTTGATAGAACAGTAGTTGTATAATGTCCTTGTAAGTGGATATCAGGCCCATGTAGAGCAAAATTGAGTATTTTAGTTTAAATAACCCAAAATGTGATGTCCACATATGTGGACGCCAGGTCCTAGGAGGTTAAAGCCGAGCCTTTGTTGAGTAGCCAAAAGCCCTTATGAAAATAAGTCTGACTTTGGTAACAAAAGCATGGTGTAGCATATCTTTCACAAAAAAAGCTCATTTTACGTTAAAGGTATAGGAATTTAAAACAATACTGAAGCACAGAGGAACTTTACAAAGGGACACTAGACTTCCACTTTCTCGTGTGTTTCTGAATAATTTATTTCATACAATACACGAGGAGAAAGGTTTTTTGGTAATGTAAGTTTTTTGCTGATATAACACCTTTAAAGTTACACATTAAAATGGCAAAATTAATTAGCACATTAAGCAGTTTTTAAAAGGAAAGCATGGCTTTATGTGTACACAGATGTGAGCAAATTGTACAACTGCAGATTTACAATGTAATGCTTTACACCAGTCTTACACAAACTGCACAACAGCAAACCAAACAAATGATCTTAAACCCAGATATGCACAACGCATTATCCAGTTAACAAAAAATCAGATTTACATTGCACATAGTTACTCTAAGTGCACTCTTATATATATATATTATCCCTTTTTAATGTTTGGTAACCAAAACAATCAACCCAAGAGACATATGTGACTGAATTTGAGAAACACTGTCTAATATAATTGCTTTCCCACTTTGTACACATCTATTTACATTCACCATTTTAAGAGGTATACTGGAAAATTCACAAAATTACACTAAAGTTACTGACGACAAAAGACAGACGCAAAAAATGTAGGAGTATTTAAGCACACACTTATAAGCAACATGAAAAATGACATTTTAATCTCTGATTCTCTTCCGCAATGTGCCTTTTGTCCTGGCTGGCCCTCCCCAAGTGTGGTTCTGTCGGAGGTTTCTTCCTGTTAACAGGGTTTTTTTTCTTCCCACTGTCGCCAAATGGTCACTCGTAGGCAGTCGCTTGATTGTTGGGGATTTCTCTGCATGGTCTATAAGTTGCAATATCAGGCAACTTGAGGTGACTGTTGTTGTGATTTGGTGCTTTTTGGCAAATGTGTCTATTTGCCTTAATGCTGCGACTTAAATTGACTCATGTGTGCACACTAAATATGAAGCTAGAGTCAGTAATGTTTGTGAACTATTTGGAATTCCTAGGGTTCATGCATTATGTGATCTGGTCATCATGTAACTCAGAACTAAAAACGCAGTCTAACTAAATTACACTGTTAAAAAAAATAAATAAAAAATAAAAAAGTTAAACTTCAGGGACACTAATCTATCCAGTTAGGAAATATAAAACTGTGAATTTGCACAGTTACAACAGGTGAAAGACAAGAACGGGACAACCCCCACCCTCCCAAATACCCCTGCTCATTACAAGAGTTATCACCTGCACCCCATTCCAGCTCACCTGGGGTGGCACATCCATACATGCTGTTGTAAGGTTGACTATGGGACTCAGAGCCTTTAGTTGTTCTGCAGCGAGACTTTGGAATACACTTCCACCAGATCTCCGGACGACAAACTCTCTCTCCACTTTTAAATCCCGTCTTAAAACCCATCTATTCAAAATTGCATATCCTTCATCATGATTCCATCTTAGTCTATTTTGTCCTTGTTTAGCTTTTATACTTGCTTTTATACTTTTATACGTGTTTTTTATTTTTCATTTACCTTATGTTTTTATTTTTTTGTAAGGTGACCTTGAGGGTCTTTAAACGCGTCTATAAATAAAGTTTATTATTATTATTATTACTAAGGTTAGCCACCCTCACAGAGTCCAGCTCTGACAGTTTGTTAGGACGTGCCACCCTGGAGGAGCTGGACTTCCTGTGAAACCTGAATGGACAGAATGTGTCATAATAGTTTAACTGTCTTTGTGTTACACTGTGTTGATCAAGTGTTCCCTTAAATTTTCTGAGTGGTGTAATAATACAAAATCAGCAGTACTTTATATAACTCTTTGTATGTCCTTGATTGAACACAAACACACACTGTGATAATAACTCTACCAAAACTCTATCTGGAATCAGGTGTTTCAATCAAGGAGGCTATAAGTGCAGTGAAAAATAGCCTGACTTTTCTCAAAAGAGATTGGCTGGTGTGATCCGTGCTTTGATCGCAAACATCTTCAGGAGACCACAAAGACAAGAATCGTTATAGAGATGCCTGAAGCAGAAAATCACTACTAAAGCATTTCAAACAACCTTGGTGTTCAGAAATGCACAATAAGACAAATTTTTTTTACAAACTAAAGAACTGCTGATATTCTCTGTGGGTGTCCTGAACATTTTATTCAATCTTAAAGGAGGTGAAAGAGAGAGAACAAAACACCTGTAACTTGTTAAGACCTTGTCCACTACGAACACTGAACAAGAATGGGGTTAATAGAAGGACAATATGGAGGAAAACATTATTCTAAACAGAGACAATCTCCTCTAGACGTGTGAAACAAAATCTGACTCCCAACAATCATTGAGGAAATTATTAGTTTAAATTTGGATCATGTCTGGGTAGCAGAGCACATGACATGAAGCTTAAAGTGAATGATTAATGCACCAAGACCATGACCCAAAGCACAGAAAGTAAATCAGCAATAAATTCATGTTTTGCTAAAGTCCTGACCTTAACCCCGCTGAACTGCTGTGGCATAATCAGAACATGGACATGCCACAACATCCCAGAAATACTAATGAATGCACTTGTAGAGAATAATGGTCGAGAACTGACCTACCTATTCCAACCTGCAATGATTACTTCCCATTAAAATGAAAAGTAATGCTAGACAATTGGGCTGGTTGTTTGAAATTGTCCCTTGGAAGGTGAGTAGACCAAGAATTAATGAAGTAATGAATGTTTTCTGTGTACAGTAACTTACTGGTTCTTTTGATATGAGTGTGATTGCAATTTTTGAAATGTTGGATGGAAAGATTGTACAGCATCCATTTTTAAAAGTACACATTTAAAAACTGAATTGGGTGCACAACTTTGAATTTACCATCAATTGTAGGAAACCCCAAGAGGGTCAACAGTATAAATACAGTGCTGAAGTTTCACGATGTCTTTTAATTTGACAAGGTCAAGGCCCATTATTCTTCTTGTTACTGATCATGATTGACTACACGTGGTAGGTTCCAGTTGGATCTCTTGGAGCCATTTCTACTGCAGATACTGCAGATTCCAGGAAAATCGTTCAAACAATTGTACATAAGTAATAGTTCTGTTACCACTTTGCCAAGGTCTAGAAGAAGACCGAAAATGTCACCCTTAGATGTTCAGGAACAAGGCAGGAACCGCCAAGGATTAAGTGTCACTGTCCACAGTGAAGTGCTGATCAAGAAAGAAGTCGCTGCTCCAAAATCGACACCTTCAAACTCAAATTTGCAACTGCACATTTCAGTCGAGTTTGAAGGAGAAAGGTTTTAGACAAACGCAAAGATTGAGTTGACAAAGGCAAGAATTACGTTTGCAGGAGTAAAGGTGAAAAACTAAGACTGCTGTGCAAACTGTCAAGTGATGTCAATGGTGGTAGCATCATGCTCTGGGGCTGTTTTTTGCCAGTGTTCAGCTTACGCATATATTTGAGCCTGCATGGATACTTTTGAATGTTATTTTGCATGGGACCATTACCCAGTTATTTTTAATTAAATATAAATGTATGCTGTTCAATCATTCCACCTTGGAAAGAGAACGGTTCAAAGACGTCATTAATAGGCCAAAATTAGCACGATGAGTGTATGTAAACTTCTGACCACAATATGAAAGCGGTTCCAATCTTTTTCCTTTTCTCTAAAAGTATAATTATTACTTTCAGCAATCTGAAGGCGATATATTGATATTCAATATTTCCTTGACACATATTACCACATTAGATTTTTTTTTTATTCTTAAACTTACTGATGATCTAAACCTTTAAATCACTGGTGGGTTGAGATGATTTCCTTCCTCCCGTGTAAAGCTGGATTCCCCCGTTGTTCCCTCTAGAATGAACAAGCCTTACTTTCAAACCTACGCGAGCTCAAAAGCACAAAGACAGCATCATTGTGACAGGGCCAGTCATCCTTGTCACTTTGCTTTGCATACAGGATCTAACATTCTCTGCTGACTTGTCAAGTTCAGACTCCTCCGATGGAGAAGTAAGTCTGAACCTGAAGAATTCAAAAAATATTATGCATAATGGAGATTCAGAAGATTCTGAATCCTGTCATGCTTTAATTTGAAAAAACGACACTTAGTGATTCACTACTATTATTATAACCACAATGTGATGTGTATGGCACAAGCATTCCAAGTTTATTTACACTGCACACTTGACTGTGCATCATTTTTATAACTCTTCCCAAGTAAATGTAAACATTCAAGGAATGAGCTGCATATGGACATCTCCTCTTCAGAGCTGCTGTACTGCCCAACAGCCAGCAAAGACTAGACCGCAGAAGTCGGTTCAACACACCAAACCCAGGCACTCGTCAGTGATCGACACAAAACCGCCACAGTGCCCTAAATAATGAAAAATATCTACCTAATCATAGGCTCAGAATCGCACACGCCAAGAGGGAAGGCTGTGTTGATAAAAGAAGGCAAAGGGCAACCGGTCTCTCATGAGCATGATAGTGCAGAGAAGGGCATTTGTGCTCCAAACCCATCATTGTGAATCAGCATCACTTGGTCTGAAGCCTAATCTGTTTGGCATTTATGGAAATAAAGTTTCCTGCTCTGTAAGCCTGTCTTTTTTTCTGTCTTCCTACACAGCAAAGGGGGGGGGGGAAGTGTAGTATTATGCTTATTCTGGATACTCTAAAGTATGTTTTAAAGCAAATTTTCCAGCACTATTTACATTCAGCACTCAAACACACCCTCACAGTCCAGTTCTGGTATAGTACCTTTGTTAGCCTGTGATGCTGCTGTTAGAAAAATACATCACCTCAATTTCTTCCAAAGCTTTAGCGCAAAACTTGACTATTTGGAGCTGCAGGAGTGCACAAGGCTCAGAGTTACACCAGCCCACTCACCTAAGCACACAGGATATTTAAAATATAAGAGCTGTAGTGATATGACTTGAATTCACCTGTACAGGTGACCTGCGCAAAAATGACTCTCTCCACAAACGCTTTGTTTGTTAAGCAATGTGCAACTTACCTTCTCATTTAAATGTATTTTTTGGAACAGTTACAAACTGCGTCAAAGCTGATTATGGTCACATCGTGTCCTTATATCTCTTTTTCCAATCCTTTCATCACTTTCCATCTTCTGCACCACACACATGACCCAAGAGTACTTATGGTAAAGCTTATATATGCTGCGACGTTCTGCCTAATGTTTGGCATGAGAGCATTTTGTACAGCATTTTGTGTGTCTGTGTCACTGTGACTCAGATGCTAGACAAGTCATCGTGACAGGATAATGAAGCCCGGCGAGTTTTCGGGCTGCACCGTGTCAACATGGTGATCTGGGTGTTGAAGTTGTTGCTGCTGCCAATAGACGGGTGCTGGTATTTGGTGTCTGAGCCCATGTATCTCTGCAGGTGCCACCTCCTCCACTTCCTCTTGATCTCTCCTTGGACCTGAAACCGATTAGAGCAAAAGGGACAATTACATGTTTATTCAGTAAGTAGAGCTACATGTTCTTTACCAACATAAAACATTACTGGGAATTCACTGATAATGTTTTTGACACCTCCGACCAAAAAGAGAGTTTATATGTTAACAAAAGGACAAAATGCTGCCAAATGCTTTCCAAAATACCCGTGTACATGTGGACAGGCCCTGCTGTTACTCCCTACACACCTCTGTCATCCTCCAAGTGTTTTACTTGAATTTATTTCATACAACAAATTTGGACAATTTAGAAGATTTTGAATAATCGACTATAAAAACTGCAGATCTCTTAAAAGCGGGTGACCTGCATTTTAATTAAACAGAAAAACAAATTGGTTGGCGTGATTTTCAGCAGCAGACGAAGCTCAAGGACGGAGGGGAAAAAATGAAAAGCACCCAGAGAAAATCCACAGAATTAAACGCCGCCAGCGCTGAGGTGGCGCGCCATTAAAAGCAGTACCCGACACTGACATTAGTTTTCATTTAGACCATGTCAGAGGGAGGAAAGTGAACCAAACCTTCTGCAGTAGGATTGAATATTTTTAAATGTGCCTTTTTTGTTGTTTTTTTGCAGATATTTTCTTACGTTGGAACATTATCTACAGTCAGTTGCAGGTTTTGGAAATTTGTTGCTTTTTTGTGTCATGTATTACAGGTTAAGGGGCTGTGCCAGGTGTTTGTGTTATTCTGCACACTGTACACTTCTATTACTGGATTAGACTACATTCATTTTCCCCCCAAATAGTGCGTGCATCTCCAAGGTCTCCTTTCACTCTCTGAGTATGTGCGTGTGCATATGTTTCCCTGTTTATGTGGCACTGCTCCAGCTCCCACTGGACTCTGGCTGGCACACCTGACACTCATCGACTAATCAACCCGCCCCTCCCACACACAGTCATCCACACACACACTCGCCATCATGTGCTTTCATCGGCAGCAGCAATAAGAACACTTAGGCTTCACATTTATTTCTCTAGGACCTAGAGTCTAGGTCCTTCCTCTTGCTCTACCAGCTTGCGTCTCTTTGTTCGGCCAACTCCTTGTTAAGTAAACCTGGCTGCACACTCTCCACCGGCTTCTCCAGAAAACCCTCAACCCCTCATTTGGACCCACGTATCTTCTTTTTTAAAGACAGTCCTGCCTCGCAATCGAGTCCAGCAGTTTTTTCTTTTGCATGAATTTTACGAGAGTATGACACTTTAAAAACTGTTTTGCATTATTTAGGCAAAAAGAAAATCAATATAGCTTTTTCTTCAGTCATTTTCTTCCACTTCTACCTTGTCAATATTTGTTTTCTTGCTATCGACATGTCTGCCATTCCTTAAGCACCGAGAATTCAACAACTAAACCTAACATAACTTACCAGCAGTGCACAAATCTTCCACACTTAGTAAAGGACACCTGGAAGTTGCATGAGATTAAAATTCAGGCAGCATAGTGTGAAGCCTCGCCATCTAGCCCAGATTCAATCTGGCCCAGCACTGAGAACATAAATAATCTGCCCACAGAGAGCCTGTGCAGACATCACTGAATAGCTCCCTGCCAAAAAGACTGTGTGCTTTTTACAGCCCTCCCACCCTGCAGGCAAAGTGCAGAAAATATGCTGTAGGGAGGTCCAAGAGAGGAGCTGGAACGACAAGCGCCGGTGACTCATACCCGCCGCTCCATCTACCTGTCAGGACTGTGTGTGAATGTAAATGGTGCGCACAGGGAGCGACGGAGAAACTACAGATAAACTACATTTTCTGAGAATGAGAGCACGACTGCAGGCTATCTCTGTGTGGAAGTACTGTGGTGTGTTTATATCAGCAGTGTTTACATCACCTACCTCTCCGTTCAGGAAGCAGTAAAGGACTGCGACCACAAAGCCCTAAAAGGAAAGAAAAACACTGATAAGAAAGCAGGAGCAGAGGATGTAATGGTTAAATTTCTTCTTTGATCATCTCGTCTTATCAATTATTTGTTATTTTTACAGTTTTTCTCAGTTCCAGAGGCATCCTTTTTAAGATCTTAGCACTAAGGATGGTTTCCCCGTGTTTTTAGCAAATCTGAATACCTACTCTGTGGAACTGTTATTATTATTATCTGAGAGATTCAACAAGACATGATTTTAACTTGTATGATTCACTGGACTTCCCTCGCTCTCCCGATTCTCATGCACCTCACGGTTAATGCTCTCCCTTGCAGTGTAAGAAGCGAGAAACCCCTGTATAATCCACAAACTTTCACTACACTTTTTTTTTTTACGTCGTCTTCCCCTCCCACCTCCTTACTCCTTTCTCTCTTCAATGTCCAGTCCGATTCCTCGGTGTATCTGAGTGGGCTCTTCCTTGTTTTCAAACTGGTGACACGTTGGTGCGCTAAAGCTCAGTAAATGTGTTTTACAACACTCCTACTAATGGCCCTCAGCTGTTAGCTAACTGGACAGTATGTGACATTAGCTGATCCAAGTCCCGAGAAATTCCACACTCCTTTGTGATGTGCATGCAGTCTGACAATGTCACATTTTAGCACATGCTCGGATCGCTTGGAAACTCGGGCAAGCAGGTACTAAGAAAGTACCTGGTACCAGGTACTATGACCTAATGGGAAATGGGTTTGATGATCTGACTACTAGTAGTAGGTACTAATGGAAAAGGAGCTTAAAGGTACAACACACTGAACCTTGTAACAGCTGGGCTTCAACAGCACAAGACCACATTATGTGCCACTCGTGTCAGCTAAGACAAGGAGGCAACAATTCTCACGGGCTCAGGGAAATTGGACAACAGAAGACTGGAAAAACGTGGTAGGCTGGTGTTTCATTTTGGTAACACCAGCCTACCACGGAGAATCAAGTCAGTTCCGAATGCAAAAGGGGGATCAGTCCAGTATTAGCAACGAGTACCTAACAAAGTAGTTGGTGAGCACAACTATTTAACTCATGAAGAAAACTTAATCTCTCTTGGTTATAAAGATTGTAGACAGTTGTGTTTGTGTTCCAAATACCTTCTTACAGCTTTAACTGTCTTAATTAAGCCAAAGCAACAGAGGAAAAGCTGTAAAAAATAACATGTGGCAGTCATGACAGTCATAAATGTATTACACAGACAAAACAAATGGGAGTCGAGTTGTAATAAGAAGGGGGAATAAAAGGAGTAAGGAGAGGATTGTGTTGGAAAGGTTTCCATATCTTCCAAGCTGTTGTAATGCAGCTGTGCTGTCTGGCTGCATTCTCTATCATTCCTCATTAAATGATGAACTGAAATAACATCAGAGCTTTAAACAGTGACAGTGCCACTGAGCCAGCCAGCAAAGTGCTTGGAGACCTGATGCAGTTTTCTTTAATAGTAGCACTCGCTAGTTCAGGGCTGAAAGCATGCCAAATCACTATTTTTGGACTTTTTAAAAGTTTAAGTGACCACACTTCTAGAAGACTACATTTATTTTTAAGGCACTGGATTTTAGGAATCTACAGGTATTTTTTTAACAATCACTTTTTCCTCAAAAACATTTGATCTCATACCTGAAATGATCCCAGAATCAAGTCAAAAACCAGCCGCAGCTCAGTCTTCACTTGCTCGGGGATAAATGCAAACACTATATAATTGATCCCAAACAGCGGAATCAAAAGCAGCGTTGACTTTGCCAGTCGCCTGAAATGATAAGGCAAAAACAAATTCAAATCCCTCCCTCCAGTCAAACCAGCATCCAATCTGTCTCTGTATACCCCAATAATGAAATGCAGCTCAGGAGTACTTTTCATTTTAAATTTCAGCTCAGCAGACCAGAGACGGAGGGGGGGGGGAAAAAAACACCATTAAAAGTGTCAGTTGGAAAATAGCTCATGCATTATGACTGGCTTATGAGATGCTCTCCATCATATGAAAAACCACTTAAATACATATAACACTACATCTCTGTGTAAAGCAGCTGCTGGATGGTGGAAAACCACAGTGTGCTGTGCATGCTAAGATTTTCTTTTCTGAAATCCAAAAGGACTAGTTATCCCTGCATCGCTCTGAGTGTAAAAAAAGTTACATTTGCAGCAATAGTTACAGGAAGAATACTCAGGAGTGCGTGCTACTCTGCTGCTCTGCAAGTTTATTCAAACGAATCTTTGTTTATCCTTACAAAAGCAGCTAATGTTCACAGAATGTCCACCGAGACAGAAGTGGCGGAGCTCTTTCCAAACACCCTCGTTCGTATCAGTGACATTTCATCCTTTATTAGCTGATACATAAAACAAACTTCCAGCATGAAAAAGAAATTTAATTACACTCACGAGTACTGGTTGGAGTCGTTTCTTCCAATATCGGGGCAGTTTATCTTCTGGCGAAGTATCCGAATGATGCAGATGAAAAGAATAAAGTTCATCTGTGGAGAATACATTACAAAAGTCATGTGAGAAAAGCACTGAGGCATTTCACACTGCATCTAATGCATATAGGGAGATGTTTGTGAGATTCAACTCATAAACAGAAGCGTTGGATTGTGGCGCTGGCCTGTAGGAAAATGAGCATTTCTAAACTGATGATCTGGGCTGTGAGTGTGAACTTGCAACACATCAGTCATCATGATGCACTCCCAGCTATCAGTCACCGGCTAAGTACAGAAAAACAGAGTGTACTAACAGTAAGGCCGCTGACACTCATGTTAAATAATGAAGCTGACCCTCCTCTGGGAACAACTGCTAGCAAATAACTAAACAGACCCATTTGGACACTAGTAGGCGTCTGCTATGACACTTTGTCCAGAGCAAGCTTTTAATAGCTGGAAATTATATTAAAAGCTTTTTTTTTCACCTTCTATGAGAAGATCAGTACCACTCACTCATGATTTAGCTAACCACAAATATTTAAACACAGAAAACAGCTGGTTCTTTGCAAAAGGTTCAAAAAGCATCTGCTAGATTTTCTATAAATGTGACGCAGAACACAAAAAGACGTAGGCTGTGGACCCCAGCTGCACAAAAATGGCCAAGAAATGACGTAATCAGGAGCAACCAGACAATATTTCCAGTGTTTGTTACTATAGCGATTACTTCCATTAAGAAAGCTGATAAGATGCTAAGTTCACTTCAGGTCACTTCACGAGTGACCAAATAGGTAATGTGACAACACACATATGTTATGCCAGTTACTAGAAATCTCATAACCATGGCGACAACATCATTACTAAACAACAACAACTTAAAGATTAGACGACCTTCAAGTTAAAAAATCATAGAAAATAAATCTGTTTTCTTAATTTAAAAGTGAAAAATGTACATTTTTGGACTTGGCCTGGTTTTTGCATGCTGTTAGCCAGAGTCTGTTCTTCTTTTCAACTTTGATAATGCTTCTGGTATCGTTAAATTAGCTTAATGCTCGAGTAAAGCTATAGGCAGGCTTCTAAAAAGTGGGCCACTTTTGAGTATTAGCATACTATAGACCAAAACAAGTGTTCAAGTAGTAAAGTTAAACCATTTAAATGAAATTCAAGCACAACGTTTGTATTAGCAAAAAGAAAAACCTGAGTACTAGCATGTGTTGGGTTGTGTAAAAGCTAACTAACACTGTGTGAAGCTACCAGTGTTCACTAACATGCAGCTTTAATGTTCATTGTGTTCAAATGGACACATGAGCTTGGCAACGTTTCTCTATTGCATATGTCTCTAAGCATTTATTTTTACTGCAACTGCAACTGCTCATCGCCACAGATCATCGGTCTCTATTTCACTCAACACTCTTTATGGTCTTACTATTTCCCTCCTGCCTGGCAGCTCCATATTCAACATCCTTTGTCCAGTATATCCACTATCCCTCCTCTGCACATGTCCAGACCTAAGCTGTCTCTCTGATGTACTCATTTCCAATCCTGTCCCTCCTGGTCACTCCTAATAAAAATCTCAAGATCTGCCACCTCCAGCTCAGCCTCCTGTCTTTTTGTCATTGCCACATCTCCAAACCATACATCATAGCAGGTCTCACTACCATCTTGTTCCCCACTCTCTGCTTCCCTTTCACTGTTGCTGCTATCCTTCTGTCACAAATCACCCTTGACATAAGTCTTTTCACCCTGCCTGCACTCTCTTCTTCACCTCTCTTGTGCACTGTTGTAAACTTTTATTTGAACAAAAAATGGTTAGGAAATTATAGACCTGCAAAATAAAACATCAATGAGGGTGCACATTAGTACATTTAAGAGAAGGAAGGAAGAAGTATTTCAACGGGATCCGCTGAACGCTTTGCACACCTCTGAAATAGTCTCACTCACGCAGAGATTAGAGTCTGTTTTTCTTACTAGAGATGCGGTTCAATCTGCATCTGAGCTGTCACACTTTAGCATTTTTATCTTTTGGGGTTTTGATCCGTGCACTGGAGAAAAACTCATTTTTTAAATTACCTTTCTGCTTTCAAATTTGCATGCTAAATATTAAACTTTTTTCCAGCAGCCTGTTATCTTGACTTTGAAACTGTGACTTAAAAATGAGGCAAGCAGCTGCTTTTAACAGCTTATTTCTGTCTGAATTTCATCAAAGACTTGAATACGAGCACAGAACCACAGTGTAAAAGTCCATATCTGTGGTTTTACTGAGTATGATGGATTAAATTATTGGTTTGACTGGACACTTGCCTTCTGGAGTCCTTTTGTCGCATAATACTATAACTTGTTTCTACACTATACTGCCAAATATATTCGCTTGTCTGCCTTCACAAGGACATGAACTTAAGTGACATCCCATTCTTAATTCATTGGGTTTAATATGATGTCATCCCACCCTTTTCAGCTATTACAGCTTCCACTCTTCTTGGAAGGCTTTATGTGTTGACGGGAATTTTTGACCATTCTTCCACAAGTGCATCTGTGAGGTCAGACACTGATATTGGACGAGAAGGCCTGGCTTGTAGTCTCCAGTCTAATTCATCACAAAAGTGTTCTGCTAGGTTGTTATCAGGACTCTATGCAGGCCAGTCAAGATCTTCCACACCAAACTCTCTCATCTGTGTCTTTATGGAGCTTGCTTTGGGCACTGGTGCACAGTCATGTTGGAACAGGAAGTGGCATACTGCTATACTGTTCCCACAAAGTTGGGAGCTGTAAATTGTCCAAAATGTCTTGGTATGCTGAAACATTAAGAGTTCCTTTCATTGGAACTAAGGGGCAGATCCAGCTCCTGAAAAAACATCCCACACCATAATCCCCCCTCCATCAAATTTTACACTTGGCACAGTGTATAGGACAAGTACCGTTATCCTGGCAACTGCCAAACCCATATTCATCCATCAGATTGCCCAAACAGAGAAGCCTGATTTGTCACTCCAGAGAACACATCTCCACTGCTCTAGAGTTTAGTGGCAGCGTGCTTTACACTACTGCATACAACACTGTTTTGCACTGTGTGACGTAAGGCTTGGATGCAGCAGCTCTGTCATGGAAACCCATTCCATCAAGCTCTTTATGCACCGTTCCTGAGATAATCGGAAGGTCACATGAAGTTTGGATATCTGTAGTTGGCGAGTTCTGTGAACTGAGGTGCACAGTTCACCGCTCTGTGATTTGTACGTGGCCTACCACTTCATGGCTTTGTTATAGTACCACTAACAGTTGACTGTGGAATATTTAGTAATGAGGGGATTTCACAACTGGACTTGTTGCACAGGTGGCATCCTATTACAGTACCACGCTGGAATTCACAAAGCTCCTGAGAGCATCCCATTCTTTCCTAAATGTTTGTACAAGCAGTCTGCATGACTAGATCTTTTATACACTTGTGACCATGGAAGTGATTGGAACACCTGAATTCAATGATTTGGATAGCAAGAGAATACTTTTACCAGTACATCTGTATATATCTTGGATTGCGTGCAGCTTAACTAGAGATAGGTTTTTGTTGTTTTCTAGTGCTTTTTTCAGTCTTTGTGTCAGAATAGACGAATGAAGACAACTTTTCCACTCTTAGTGCCATTTACTTTGAAAGAGCTAGCTCAAGCTGGCTAGTGCTGATGTAAACCATGAAAATGTTTTTAAAGCTCATGAACTTACCAGAATTGATGCCAAAATAGGAGTTTTAATGATCCACCAGAACACATCGGTGTTTTCTATTATATCCCAGCACCTGGTAAGACGTGAAAGAGTTTTAATGTATAAGATGTAGCAAAGCAAAGCAACCCCCCAAAAAAAAAACAAAAACCCAAAAACAAAACAACACAAAAGAGTATTTTCTGCTCGATTCTGGCCTAGCAGTTCCCTAGTCTCTCACCCCACATCATTATAGTTGGCTTTAGCGATGCTCCAAGCTGTGATGAAAATTGCTGGACCGCCTGGGGGCAAAAAAAAGTATACAACCAAAAGTTACTGTGGATTCCAGCTGTAAGGTTCTCGACATGTAGTTCATATACTGCTGACACTCTATAAGGTCTCGCTAATAGAACAAGAAACAAGACTTTCTCACCCCAGCCGATCAGAATATAAGCCCAGAAGTACTTCCTCTCGGAGAAGAAGGAAACGGCCAACAATGCATGCAGATAAAGGCCTTCCACCAGCAGCCAGAAGAAACTGGCCATTATACAGTACTGGAAAAACACAATCACTGCTTTGCAGCCAACCTGGCAATGGACACAAAAGCATGAATCATACAATGATCTAGTTAACAGGGACAACCTTATGTTGAAGATGATACGGTGAAATTTATTCCCAGTTGTGGCCAAAAACTGCATTTAGAAAATGAAAGAATAAATTGGAGTTGTTTGTTTCCTGTTGGTGAAAGCAGGTATATATCTGTGTTCTTATATAACAATATGAATCCTATGACTGCAGTAGAATGACAATTAGTTTTTCTTGTGCCCTTATTAATAACTTGGAAGCAGAGATTCACTCAAATGCTTCTTTTATTATCAATAAATTCAATGGACATATTGCACAAAAAAGTGAGTTACTACTTATGAAACTTTTGTAAATAATGGCTTTAAAGGTAGTGCAAATCTGTGTCCTATTCAGCCTGCACTTTATAAGCTCTCTGCCTCATTCAGTGAAAGAAAAGCTGCCAAAGTGCAGAAATGTTCCGAAATATAATGCAGGAAGTGAGCAGGATTAACACTGAAGCACTCATGAAGCATTTACGAAAGATTGGATTTAAAGAATGTTTTCCCAAAGAACAAAATGACCCATAGCTTCTGAGATTAGCCGAAGCTGAGTGTGACTGAAGTGGCAAGTGTGCTGAATTAGTAGATTTATGAGTAGTAGTAGTAGATGCCCTGATAGGGAATAAGCTTCTTCGCTGGGAAACAATACACCTTCACAGCCTGTTTGGGCGTGCTTATTCTGCTTGATATTATGATAGCTGAATAAAATGTTTCTGCGTAAGACATCTGAGTCTGCATTCACAAGATTTCCATAACACAGGAAAACACAATAAGCTCTCTTCTGGTTGGCTGAACAACGTTTGCGTGAGGGTGGATGAGTTCATTCAAAATTGAGCTTGCCGATGCTGAATGCTGGGGAGGCAGGCTGCTATTGACATTGTTACACAATGACATGTATAAAAAGGCTGATTTTGCCTGCAGTGTTTCTAAATTCACTCTGCTGGTCAGATCTACAAGCCTGTACAAGCAGCTTTAGAGTGAGCAACGCGGAGATCCTACGCAGAAGACATCACACGGATAAGAAAAATCAATAAACTGTGCTCCTTTAAAAAGACTCCGTAAGAGTGAATACATTGAGCACTTTAGCAGCTGGAGTGCAGCAACACAATAGGAAGGGCTGGGCTGAAGGGCATTATAGGTAGAGAAAAGTGGACAGTAAAGAAGACAATAAAGTCACAATAAAGAAAAGAAAATCAGAAAAAGCTGTCAGGTCTTTGTCACGACAATAGAGTTGAAAGAAGAACAAACAAATAATGATGTGTAGTTGGACAGAACCTACCTCTTAAAAATCTAAAATGCAAAATGCAATCACGACATGCTTTCTGTTATAGCCACTTTCTACTGTAGTACATTTTAGATGGAGCTATTGTTTAGATGTTGAATTTAAAAAAAATATTTTCGATGGGAAATAGGTTTTGAAAGCTAAATAAACATGATAATCTATGGCTATCTGATAATATCTGAATCTGGCTTGAACGTGAGGATTTTTAATGACTAGGAGACTTAAAGAAACTAGCATTCGAGGCTGACATTGTGCTGGTGGCTCTCTGCTAGTCATCAACTCAGTTAATTTAAATCCAAGAACTGGGTCTCTTGACTTTGTTTGCAGCACTTTTAATACCAAAAATATGTTGCAGCCTGTCTAAAAAGTCTCCAGTATGGGTGAGTGATTTCTTTTTTTCTATTTTCAGTGGCCTTGGCAATCTTTTGTATGCAGTCTATGTTCTACACAGGCAGAATATAGACAAAACGAGCAACCCGTCTGAGTAGACAGAAGTCTTTATGTATGAAATGTCTTGCTTCTAGCTTCTCCAAAAACATGCGCTGTATTGAAAATATTCACATAATCCAGAAATGTCTTCTTCTGTTTTAGTCCTTGTGCATGGAGTTAAAGTTTGGGACAGCTCATTGAAGCAGCTGTTACTGGGCTGACAGGAATTTTGTAACCCATATAAATTGATTCCCACTTGGCATGTTGAGGGGGAAGAAAACGGACCCAGATGGGCTGCCTAAGCCTTGCTGCTTAGTTTAATATGTGCAAATCAGTACAAATTGATTGCTGGAGCTGAGTTTTAAAAAGCCTGCCGTTAGTCGCTAAAGGAGGATAAATTGTGAGATATTATGCCACTGGAAAAACAGGGAATAACAGGAAGCTCAGACACGGATCCATGCTCGTACCTTAAAAAAATGCTTTTTTTAAATATGCTTTGAATTAATCAGGTGTTTAACTATGGCAAACATCCAGCTGTATGAGAAGAGATAATGAATGGAGCATGCAGAACACCTGCACACATACAGATAAACACAGCAGAAGCAATGCTAACAGCTGTAATGGAACTAATGTTGGGGTCACGATGAGCACCGCAGCACCAGACCCGTCTCTATAATGTCTCTTTCAAATGTGCCATGATAGCAGCTGGCTCCCGTCAACCCAGCGAGTCCATTAACGTAGTGCAGCCGACCACAAAGCTCACTAACAAATAGAGTGAGCCTCTGCTCATTGTGTGGCTAAATTCTGTAACATGAACCTCATGTTTATTGGCCACACACCTGACGGGGCTTTGGACTGTGGCTCATTGTGAAGGGGTGATGGTTGAAAGCCAAAGGACAACAATCAAAGACTGTGGGCTGTAAGTCCATGTTTTTATTACTATTTTAATATTAACATACTTGGCTAATATGTGGCTTTTGTTGTGAGATTGAAACTGAAAATTGACACAAGCCGTTTTCAAAACTTTTAAGTTATTCATCAGCTATGATATGAGAACTTAAAATGTCAGTAATTATCAATAATGATCAGTGATGCTACAATACTGTACTAATACTGTACTGAATGTACTGTAATACTGACTGTATTGAGGTCTTGCTGAGTTATCTGAAGTTCTAGGAGAGCAGTCATTAACAAGCAGCATTAACTCACAGAGCCCGAGGAGCAGTTGTCCACCTCCCCGACCTCGTAGAGAACCACATCTTTGATGAAGACAGCGATGGCCTTCAGGATAAATGAAACAAATAGATGCATGTGGATGTAGTTCCTTGTGCAGTGGAGTTTCCTAGGACACACAGAATGAGAGATACAAGAAAACAGATCAAGACAAAACGACAAGACACGCGGAGAATTCAATAAAGAGGCCCTGCATGCTAATTACACAATGTCCTCAGAGTTAATAGCTTAAAATGGCAGCAATTCACAGACAGTTAAATCATAATTAAGTTTCTTAGTTCCCTTTCACTGTGTGGGTGGATCAGTTTTAGAGCACAATAAATGGTTTTTATGGTTCTTCACACACCTTTGAAAATAGGCAGGAGAGGTGGATTTCTAAGAAGTTACAGTAGTAGAAGCAAGTAGTCCTAAAACATCAGTTCTTTTAACACTTCTTCTGCTGACTACATTATCATACTTTAGAGGTAATTGGGGAAAACAGGTTCCTAATAGCTTCAATCACTTTTTAAAGTCAGAAATGGTTGTTGTCTTGGCAGGTAAATATTCGCCTGGAGTACAGCATATGCCCAGTCAGTTAATGTTCCCTTGGACATCATAACAGTTTCATTTAACCGTACCTCATTCCCAGGAGAGTAAATTGCCATGATACCAATGTTATCCAGATTTTATACTCACATCAAACAGCAACTGCTATTTCATTTAAATCCCTATTTTTCTTCTACTTCTACTTTCTTCTAGTTCTTCTTTATTCAGTTTCGGTCAGCCTTTAGTGTCAGACAGATGGTCTCACATCTGACTCTAGAAACTGTAAACCTGACTTTTAATGTCTGTATGAGCTCAACAACTGTTCATCTAATCTACTTCTAATGTGTTGGGGTTCCTGCATATGTTGCCTTTTAGAAATGCGTGTAGTGAACCATATAGCACTAATACTGCTCATAATACCCCACGGTCATAACTCTCTTTCTGGCTCAAATCTGTGGGTTGTTTTGATTTCACACCTTCACACCTTTTATCTCCCTGACCATGGCCGGCCTTGTGACTTTGGGTGCGTGACGGTGAGCAAAACTCTCAGGTGGACACACTTTGACACCTATTGCTTGTCTTTGCAGAAAGCATGAAAAGTGCCTCTTATCAGCAACTAATTCAATAAGGCACTTTCCGGTGACATGATCGGCAAAAGACTCAAAAAGAAAAATGTGACCAAAAATAAAATTCCGAATAAATGTTACTCCACCACTGCGGCCACGAAGAGAAATGGGTGGCAGTACACTGAGAGAAAGCAGCTTCCATGTAAGAAATGAAAACACCTGTTGCATCATCACTGAAACTGAAGGAGATAAAATCAGCACACATCATTTCACAGCTCATGCACTTAGGTGTGAATTTTTGCAGCTGCACAGTATATAGAGTATAGAGTGTTTACAGTGTTTGGAGGGGGTGTAGCACACAGGAAGAAGAAGTGCTCGAATGTGGCCCACCCATTTACACATACAGTCTTTGTACACAAAAGTTATTTCTTTGCAGCATTCAGCGAGAAAAGTTCACTTCGCGTCCTACTCAGGCAGACAAATTGCATAAGGCAGCTTTTCCAAAAAAAGTAATGTGCGGTATTATGCGAGTCACTCTTGAAATGTCCATTCATTATCTTTTAGGGTGAAGATGTTGCAATTTAAAGCTGGCTTCTTATTCTTCCTCAGAACTGTAATTGCACTTGAGGAGGTTACAATTGTTCCCTGGCTTATCAAGCAAAAATACCGGTCCTTTTTTTATCCCGCAATACTTCAAACGTCTAACCTTCAAAGTGCTGCATGCGCCATCAAAAGATAGCAGAGTTTGAGTGACAGTTTATTTCATTTGGAAGCTATTTGTATCTTTCATCTTGGTTTAAGCCTGCTATTATACTCGGGTGTGAAGCTGCAGTGATCAGAGACGATCAAATTCCAGTGAAAAGTGTTTGATGCGTGACACAGAAATGTGCAATTTGTCACAATGTTCATGTCACATCAGCCGGCAGGGATAATGCCACTGTCAGCGTGCTTTGTAGATAATAGCACGTACTGATGTTCTTCACAAAAGTCTCGCTTTTTGTTCCGTTCATCGTTTTTCTAAACAGCTGACCACATAAAAAGAAGTTAATCCAGATGGAATGAAATTCACAGTGAGTGCAATTAAATAGCACATAAGTACTTAATATAAAACAGCTGAGCTATTGTGCATCTACATACCTGAAGATGCAGAGGATCACAATAGCGGTAGTAAGCGAGACGAGCGAGACGCTGTGGCCGATGGTGTAGCCGATCTTCACTTGCCAAAAAAACTTTCCCTGCACAAAGAAACATAAAAACAGAGAACAAATCAAAGAAAAGGAAACAGCCGGTGCGTGTTTACACACTCAAACAGTGACATCACTTGTGTTAGTTGATTTAACCATTCAAAACATTGATTTGTTTCAATTTTTGGCTTAGAGATGTCTTTTATTATTGTTGTTAAGCATTTAGGCTCCACTCCTGTCATTTTTAAGTGTTGTAACTGAAGAGCTCTTGAACCACGGATTTGTGTCTCTCTCTTACCAAATACTGGATCAGTCCAGTCATGCGATATACTGTAACAGCATCCTGAATTTCTGGATCCTTTCAGAGAAGCTTCGTTATGTTACTGCCATGCCACTGTATGTTGTGCGCTTGATGGAAATTAAATTAAGATCTCCTGCATCCTCTGGCACACTCACACATATCATGTTTGCAGTAAGATGGACATCAAATTCCTTTTAGAGTACTTCACCGGGCCAGGTCCCTCCTGACTTCCTATGTGGCATACTAATGAGGCCGCCTCTTTGACTCAGAGAGCAAAGTGCCCACCAAGAAAGCTTTTACCACCCTGCAGTGCACATCCACTCTTCACTCTGCTCCACCTTCGTCAACACGGACAAGATTAGCTCTGGCTGCAGTAAAACTGAACTAAATAAGAGCAGCATTTGATTTATTTATTCTGGTCCTACTCCTGGAAGGATTCTGAATAACTTCTAATGACTCATAATGCCTGATAACGGAGGCGGGAGTTATTACTGACCTGTCTGTGTCAATTATGTCAAGTGTGTTTCAAAGACATTTTTATTTTAATTACAATACGAATGTTTTTGTTACAGCATCAAACCAAATTACCTTATAACCATAGATTTACTTTCTAATCCCATCTTTCTCCCAATGTATGACTAGCACAGGGTACAGCTACTCTGGTTATCTTTACAGTTAAAACATACATTTATCAGAACACATTGTTACTCTTTGTTGAATCTGTACACAAACATGTATTCCTCTTAAATAGCACAGGTCTGCAACCAAAAAACTGCTTAGGATTTTTACTGAAACCGGGAAAAACATTTTAAAAATTCCATCACATCAGGTTTTCTTGCAAAACTCATGTTTTTAGTTTCATTTCCCCTTTTAAACTGAAATCTGGTATCCTATACTTGAGTCAAAAAATCGTATCCACTAATGATTTCTCACATTAATTGAATATTTCTAAGAGCGAGACTCAAGAGAAATACAAATAGAAAATGCAAGGGATTGAGGGGTCAGTAGGAGGGGGAGTGCACGGTGGGCTTGGCAGTGTGAGGAGCTCAGATGATCATGTCCCAACAGGTTTATTTTGTTCATAGCAAAAGGTAAGGAATCTCCGAAAAATTATGCATAGTTAATTGTAATAAAATATTTATTTTTTCATTGCTGTTGTGCTTTTTTTAAAATGTAAACTCCTCCTGTTTTGTAAAAAAGAAAAACTGTGAGGGAAATGGAGATCATTTTTAGATTCAGTACCTAAAAAACATCAAATTTACCCAAAATTATCCCATGCAGCTGGAAAACTTTTTTTGCAGACCTGCGTAACCTGCATGCATCAGATTACAATTTTAAGTTAGCGACTATGTAAATACAATATGTAGAAATAAGTACGCTTTAGCAATGCAGTAATGCTAAGTAATGCTATCTTTAGCGTTGTAAAGACTAGCAGGTTATCTACTTCCACACTTTATATTGAACTAGTCAAAGTATCTCACGCAGCACTTCACAGTTATGAATCAGTGAATTTAATGCACCTTCCTCTGTATATTGACTATACTAAGGAACATACTGCATTAAGCTGTTAAGTTAGTTGGGCATGTTGCTGTGTTCCTGCTAACTTTTGCTTTATAAGAAAATTTCTTACAATGCAGTTTAACGAACAGCTGTTCATTAATTTCCTCATCTTGCTGTTTCCTGACATTTCTATATTATATTGACATTTAGTCCAACAATAATAAAAAGCCTGTACATGAAAATATAAACAGTATTCTTTGACAGCTTCATTCTATATATTCTGTAGACTCAGTCACTTGAGACAACTCAATACATAGGAGTGAACAAAAGCGTATATGAGGTACATAGTGGCAACCAATCAATACAGTAATTTCCCCAATACAGCCAATAACACCCACCCACAGAGCACAGAAAAGAGCTTCTCATTCAATTCTTCCTGACCGCTGGCTCTGGACACCATTTCCCGCTGTGCAGCTCTGGTCATTCACTATGAGACTGTGTCAGTCTACTCACATCATCGCTAGTGCTGTTGAGATTGTATCCACAGCTCACAGCAATGTCAATAGGATGCATCTCGGTCCAGCCATCTTCTGTACAGGTTTTCGAAAGGTTACCTGGAGACGGAGAAGAACCAAAGAGGTCACAGCCACCCAAGCGTTATATTTCCTCTGCCTGCCACCCATTAGGTTCAAATTGGACACGTTGTGACATTGTCAGTGACCCAACAGGTCACTGCAAACAGCAAACAACGGCAAAAAAACCAAACTCTGCAAAGTGCCACAAAAAGTCTTTCCTGCTAATGTGAGCCGCTATTGACTTGTACTTTACCTGAGCCTGCAGAAAGGCACTCTGCTGTTACAGATATTGACTGATCCGTATCTTGCCATTCATCTAACCCCACATAATGATCCAGGCAAGAATGCATGCACCAGATAATACTACCATGCCCACAACATACTGCTTAAAATTTACTCTAACAGCCTATTGTTTAACATCTGATGATAATATGAATAAAAATAATTAAAAATGTTAATCATGATAGGTCTACTATAGATATTATATATAGATAGAGGGTTATGTTTTCTTTCAGATTTTCCTGATTTGTTAATTATGAGTTATAATAATATCAGATTACATTTTAATAATAATAATAATCTTTTTGCAAAAAATTGTTACAAATTGTATATATTACTTGTGTACCATCTGTCAGCTAAAATCAGCTGGTTGTTGGTGTTGGTGACAGTAAGGTTGCAGAGTGCCCTCTGGTGGGTAAACTATGAAACAGCACTCAGGACTCATAATATTGTTGAAGGGTGTTTCTATTTCTTCTTGATGTTTTTAATTCTGTTGTAAATGCTGGTACTGATATATTGGCCGATATTGACCATGCTGATATATCAGGTTGGCTCTATTGTAAGATGATATACGTAGGCAAAAAACAATAAATGAATGATTCTGCTGGAACCTTCTGAGTGATTCATACTGCACGTCTCAACATTTTGCACCTCACCAGATTAATTTAATTACAACATAATTCCATAATATATTGACAGAGAGCGTTGACTGGATGGTGTGAGACTTTCTTTCAAAACTGGTATAAATCACTCCTAGAAAAAACACAATTTCTTGAGAAATCCCAGCTACCATAGAGCGAATAGCAGGGTACACCTTGGCCAGGTCGCAGTCTGTCACAGGGTGATATTTTAAGTTTTCTGTTCTTTTCTATTTCTTTTTTTTCATTATAGCTTTTCTTTTCTTTTTTAAACCTCCTGACTTTGAAATGAGGTATGCAATAAAAGAGAATCACACAAATCTGTGACCGATATTATCTGCTTTCCATAACCTGATTTCTATTGATTTGTATGGAACTGAACTTTCACTTCTAATATTTCTGATTGAGTTTATTTTTTCTTCTTTTTTGTGGATTTCCTATAGAGACTTCTTTAGATGGTCACAAAAAATATTGAGCCACGTTATTTTAAGGATGTTTAGTTACTATTTCTCTCACTCTGCAGCAGAAACTCTGTCATTTGGTTTATTTGTGAAATTTGTTCATGGTTTATTCATTCATGGGGCATCAACGGTTCATGTAAACAGCTTAACCACTAAAAGACCTTAATTTTAATGTGACCGACAGACAAGCTGCTCTGTGCATATAAACAAAGCCGCTTATAACCAAATGATATCAGGCAGTGAGATGCTAATGAAAGAATGTGCAGCAGGAGGTTGTTTCTACAGCATAAACACTGCTCAGCGCAGAGCGGTCATGTGACTGAATACCTCTTCTGTGACTGCATTTACGCATCATGCTCAGATGCTCGAGTCTTATTTTACCATAAATCAATTTCCCAATTTGCCAAACACACCTTCATGGATGCGTAAGTAAACACACACACACAACATCAGGCTCATTAAATCAACATCTTCCACATTCCTCATCTGTCACCACACAACTTTTCAGACAATTTTTGAAGCGAACGGCACGAGCTAAATCCTCCAGAGAATCCTGAATGAATACACTGACTAAAGCTGACTTTAAGTAATCGTATAGGCACATGGACTCATGTTCATTTATAGTCTGGGTGGAAGGGATTCGGTCTTTCCACAAGATTTACTCCAGGGTATTGCTGAACAGCAAAGCAGAAAATCGCCAAGAAGCAGTGTGACCTGAACTATACTCGAGACCATTTCACAAATAAAACTTTGAAGCATAGAGCCGTTGAACAAATGTTGTGTTTATATGGATCGCTTAGATTACAGAAAGAAATCTATATACCAATGTCCCAAAAGAGTTGGAAAATAGGCTGTCTGTCAGCACCCACTACTTGATAAGAGATGTTTTCGAATATGGTTTAACAAAAAGTGCTAAATATGGTAAAAAAATTGACAATAATCCAAACAAATCCCACTCTAAAAGAAAAGAGGGGGAGAAAAAGCAAAATTTTAATTCAACCACCTTCAAGTACAGAAACAAAAGCTAGAAAATTGATTTCAAAGGACTCTTCACTTTATTTAGCATGTTAACAGTTTCAGCAGAAACACACCAGTAAAGTCATCCATGATTGCTGTTTGTTTTTTCATTGCATGGACACAATTCACAATAATAATAAGAGGCGATACCGGCGGACTCTGAGAGTCCCATTACGCTGACTAACAGCTTAATCTGTGAATTCTCATGCAGGACTAATGTTTTGTCAGGATGCTGTCAGGCTGCATAAGTGGAGATCTGCTGTCTGGTCACATGGTTGAGCCATTTGCAGAGAAACGGAGAGCCCTCTGAGAGCTGGAGCATAGTCACCACAATGGTCAGGTCTCTATGAGGAGCATCTTCAAATGCCATTTATGAATGAACTTATCTCACTCGTCCCTCAAGTATGAAGGATAATATCGAATTTATCATCATTTCTGATGCTAATTTGTTTAATTTCCTTTTTGTCCTCTGTCATTTCCATAAAAAAAAAAATGAGTACATTTACATGAGCGTATTTAATAAAGCTCACACAAAGGCTACAGATGCCCTCGAATCAATTATGACTCAAGTGAGGGCAAAGATTTATTAGATTATTTTCGTCTCTTTGATATTGATTTTTCTTTATTGGGTATTTGTCTTTGCCAAACTGCAAACTGCAAATAAGCGCTGGGACACAAAGAAATCTCCTACTCATTTGATCTCTAATAGCCACAGTCTAGTAGCTCGCAATTTTCTCTAATTGAATTTTTGACGAGCCAGTAGATTGTTACAAATTTAAGTGCTGGGATATTTCGGACTGCTTCTCAGCACTAATTGATGCATTTTGGCATGTGGTGTTGCTTTTGACGTCAGATTGATATTTAGATGGAAAATGATGCGGCTCAGTCCTGGTTGTCTTTTTTGGTTAAAGTCACGCTAGCTAATCATGATGCCCAGCATGACGCAGCACATCCAGATGCTGACATGCGCAACATCTATAATATTTACCATATGTAATATGTGACTATTGTAAATAATATTTACAATACATTTAGAGTTTGAAGATTAAAGAGATTTATTCCAGACATGCAGTTGCGGTCTTTGTATCCCTCGAGAGGACTTTACCTCAAACTATTTCCCTCTCTGTTTATTTGCCTATTTGCATTCACTCTTTGTCGTTGTTATCAGCGGGTAATACCATCAAGCTTTCTATTTCATGTACACATTTTTTCTCTCTAGCTGTTTGTCTTTGTAATAGGTTTCCAGATATTCATATATTCAATGACTGCAGCCACCGACCTCCCTGCCTGTTACATATATACTTTTTACCTAACTCAGAACTTCGGACTTTAAATAAATTCCACAGCTTTTCTGACAAAGCGCTAACGCTGCCACTCAAATGTCAGCTGCAGCTCAGGTGTAAAGCTGTGAGAGCACAAGAAGCTCACAACAAGCAAAGCTTGTGATTTCTCCACCAGGCATGTCAGTAAACAAGCTTTTTTATCACAAGCGCTCAGGGAAATCCCCCCACCATGACAGCAAAGGTAACGTAATTTTTCCAAGGTTGCCTTTAGTTTGTGTCTCTGGTATCGCTGCCACAAAAGAACACAACACAATTTAGCAAAAAAAACATGAACTGGGAAAAAAAATTGCTTTTTGGAAGGAAGGAGGTGGGTTTAAATCCACAACAACAACAAAAAAACCCCACTTTTTCTGGTTGGAGCAGTTTCAGTCTGTTCTACTTGAAGCTAGATAATTTTTATTAGTGAACTCCAATACAGAAAAGCTGATTTGGGAAAGAAACGTTTAAAAACTGTCAGCAGAATATTGTCTTTTTTGGGTCTCCCTCCTACTTTTGATGTTGTGGTATCAAAAATGTACTAGAGGTGAGATGAGTTTCTTCCAACTGTCCAAAGAAATGCCTGTTAGGATAGGTGGTGACTCGGCCATAGATATGAATGACAGTGGGAATTGAAGTCAACCTGTCTGTGTTAGCACTGCAATGGATTTCACTTCGAAAGATATTTATTCCCAAAATGATGACTGAAATCCTGAAATCCCAAAAGGAAATCCTGCAAAATTCACTGCAAAAACTCAGGGAGGCTTGCTAATATAAGAGACTGATGAAATCAAAATAATAAAAAAAATAGTTTAGTTACAGTTTTATGATGTTATTTGAATGAGAAACTAATAGGTAATATTCTCACTTTAATCCAATGTGTGTTGGTGAGTGGTGGGAACAAAAACAGCAGAGACCCAGATCTCTAAATGTAACACATGACATAAGTGTAATGCTGAATCCTTGTGTTTTAAGGCTGATAAGAGGAGTACGCTTTGGGTTTAATAAGCTCCCAGAAATTTTACTGAAACACAAAAGTCTGTTACTAAATATGGACAGCGGCTGCGTTTGTCAGTGTGGGCTTTTTGATAAACATGGCTCCTTAATGCACCGAAGATTAAAGAATAGAAAAGACAGCTTTTTAACACAAAATGAGAGAGAGATGAGTTGGATTCGGGTAAAAGCCATTTCTCTTTACTTATGCCTCTTATTACAGGTGAAGCAATCACAAAAGAGTGGCTGTAGCTAAAAGTCAATCGTGGTTTTAATCTGAGAGACAGATAAGACGGTGGGCAAGCAAAAAGAGCGAATTCAAGTGAATAACA